ACATAGATACGCAGTGGGCTGCTGTCAGGACCACCCTGCTGGAGATGAGGGAGCCTCCACACACATGTATATTGAATGACTGCACGATCACCTGCCAGGGCCATCGCCTCTCTGGAGCCGGCACTCCACCCACTATCTTCATGATTCTTTTGCCGCACGCTGATTGGCTCGGTAGAGAGCACCGGAAGTGAACCTGCCGCCCCCCAACCCACCATCTCCACCCAGGCCGCCAGGGCACAGCAGGTTACCCTCAGGGAGCTCCCATCTCTGGAACGCCACAGCAAGACTCCGGCTCCACAACCTCCCCAGCCAGGCTCCGCCCCTACAGACCTGGCCCCACGCAGTACCTCGAGGAAACAGCTCCACAGGCGGAGAGGCCCCAGAACGCCACAAGTCTTGTCGCCCTGTGGGTGCTGATGTGGCCTGGGGTCCCACAGGCCCAGCTGGGGCTGAAGACCCCGGAGCTGCAATGCCTTTTGGATTCCCGGGGCATTTCGGGTATCCTGGGGGTAACAGGGGCTCTGGGCTCGGCAGGGTCACCTCAGAATCCTTGTTGGCTCGGTAACCCACATCTGCAGGATAACAGCCAAGCAGGAAGTTAGGAGAGCCCAGCGCCCCCTCGACGGCCTCCTCCTCCTCCTCCTCTTCCTGGCTTGTGGTGCCCGCCACACTCCCACCTCTTTCCGCGTCCCCGGCCCTGTGCGCCGCCCAGCCCAGCCACGTCCTCTCCCCGCCCACCCAGAGCCTCACTGAGCACGGGCTGAGCCAGCTGGAGCCACAGCAGGAGGCACAGGAAGAAGCCCCTGCGGGGACCCTCTAGGGACGCCATGGGCACCGCCACAGCCTCCTTTGCGCCCCCTGGCGGCGGCGCGTGCCCCTGCACTCGTGTTGGCGGGAACGTGGGGTCAGGGGTCAAGGGAACTCTGCTCTCCCAGGATTCCTGATCCCGATCCCCCTTAGGAGATCCATAACCCGTCTAGGTAATGCTGTGAAGGACGGGACTTCGAATACGTGATTAACCTCACGGGCTGCAGTGGAAACACCTCCCCGCCCCAGGAAGCTCCACACCACACCATTTCACTCATGGGTTCTACATGGCTGTTTGCAGGCTCACGTCTGGTAAAGGAAAAGTGCTCCCAACACCACCCAGAACAGCTATGCAGCTGACGTCAGCATCACAGAGGGACCATCCCCATGCCGACAACCCGGCTCAACAAATGCAACCCACAGAGGCTGTGAATGCTGCCATATTGTGTGGTTTCACTGCTCTTCAGTATCGCCTTCACTGTCGTGGGTCAGGAAACCTGGCCTCAGAACCCCCTATGCTCACCAAGAAACAGAACTTAGTTCTTCACAGGCACTGCTTGTGAGCGGGCTTTGGGACATGCTCTGTCCAACAGAGCGTGGTAGAAGGGAAGTGTGTAACTCATGAACTTAGCATTCAGAAGCTTTGCAGCTTCTCTTTTAACATGCTTGAAACACCTGAGTCCTGAGCCCACCTGTCATGCCCACTGCAGGATACCGAGGCCCCTCCCCTCCATGCTCCCACAGCACCACTGCCTGGTGAGCAAGGCCCACTTGGAACATCCTAGCTCCAGCGGAGCTATCACAGGAATGCCGCCATGGCAGGGAGCTCAGCCTAGAACAGCGCAACTGCCCAACTAACCAGCAAAACTCTAGGAAACACACTTGAATCTTCTAACCCACAGCAGCGATGATTCATAAAGTCACCGGGGCACTGGGTTAGCAACTACAGGAAATTTGCTCCCAGTGGAAATACAGAAATAATTGCTTACTCAAAACAGTCTCCTCAAACCAGCACCAAATAACCTTTGTTTACATATGTTCCCCATAAAGAAACCTCTTTAACAGGCCAGCATTTGGGGTATCATTTAAGATGCTGGTCAGACACTTGCATCTTATGTCAGAGTATCTGTGTTCAAGTCCTGCCTCCACTGCTGATTTCAGCCTGGTGTTAATGTTTACCACAGGAGGCAACAGATGATGACTCAATGGCTTGGCTCCTACCACCCATGTGGGGCACCTATAGTCAGGTGCAGTCTCCCAGTGTCAGCCTGGACCATTGTGAGCAATTGAGGAATCAAACAGAAGATGAGAGTCCTCTCTTTCATTGTTTCTTATACTGTTTCTCTCTCTGCTTTTCAAGTTAAATGACTAATTTTTTAGAAAAAAGATCACTTAACATACTCTGTGGACCATTAAACTTACGCCTGAGATAACTATAACTCATTCCTGAGCAAAACACACTTAACACACCTCTTTTATGCCTGAGGCATTTCACAGCATTCTTGCACATAGGAACAGGGAGCAGTCAGCAGTGCACTTGGGCCCTTTCAAACACCAAATATCAAGTGAGAAGAACCACAAAATGGAAAAAAAAAAAAACATGACAGTAAGAGATGACGATAAAAGATACTTGTTCATCCTGTGAGAGCTGAAGGAACAGGCAATGCATGCCAATGATGAAGTTCATTAGCCATATAGTCAATGTGACCATGAAAACTTTTCCAATGCTCTGTGTATGTCCACAAATGGACACAAAAGCACCGTGAGTACTGACTTTGGTGACAGTACGTAGAAAGTTCAGGCAATTGCTAAATTTGCAAATAAGAAGTTTTGAACAATGGTGAGGAACTACAATGCACTGTGTAGTCTTGAGCCACTGACCTCATGGTGATTTCCTGCACAGCAAGAGATCCCTGAGGCGTTTCCTGAAGGCCAAGTTTTCCCAACTCTTGCCAGGCAGAGGATCCTAGATTGGGTTTCCTGGACACATACTCTGAGAGATAATGGTGTGCGGTGGTTGGCTGAGGACAGCTACTGAGTGTTACACCTGTAAGGGAGTAAGTGGGACAGTTCTGGGCATTGGGAGAAGCTGAGGAACAAGGGAGTTGCTCCTGAGATCCCAGTTAGTTCCTCAAGAGGCCCTTCCAACTTGTCCCCGGTTGAAGGACTAAGGCTGGGTTTTTACTTCTCCATACACCAATCAGTTGCCATGGGCAGCCCCCGAAAAGAACGTAGTCTGGAGGGAGAGTGTTGCTCGTGGTGCAGTGCACTTCTTGTGACTGTCTCTAGAAGCTGAGAGTGGATGTGAATCTCTACAGAGCTAGAACACCACACCCCACTCCAGGTGCCTCTTCCACTGGGGTCCTGGGGAAGCTCTCTTGCTCTCTGCTGTGCCAGGATGTTTCAGGTCCATTTCACACACTCCTGTTCCACACCTGTACTTTTCTGAGCCACTTCTCCAAGAACCCCCAGTTTCTTTTAGTAGGAAACTGATCTAACATCCACCATCTGGGCACTCAAAATGCTCACTTGCTGTATGTCACTCGCCCCTAGAGATGGGCGGCCCACTGGCTTGTGTGACTGCTGTGCCTCCTTTCCCAGAGTGCAGTGTTCTTAGAACTCACTCTCTGCCACTTGACCTTTCTCCCCTGCCAGTCACCTGTGTCTCCCAGAGGCTGTCTACCCAGCCTCCAAGCCCTTACCCAAGGTCCTCCTAATGACCATCTCTGTCCTCCCACGTGGGATCCACCTCCGATTTGTTGCCACAGACCACTGCCTGATCAGTCAAAGACAATCCAGTCTGTTTTTAACACTGCTAACATTCATCTGGCCCTTGGTGTTCAGGTCTCTGGGATCCATGCCTGTCTTTCTTGGTGACCACAGCTGTTTCTTGGTCACCAAGATTCTATAACTGATTGAGTCCCCTCCAACAAGACAGATGCTCTAACATTCACAGACCAAAGGGCACCCCATCTGCAACCCTAACTTTCCAGAGCCTGGGGCTTCTCCTACCTCGGGGACTGTAACCTTCCCACCCTGTTGTGCTCTTTCTTCTTCTCTGAGACAACCTGGAAAGGAATGGGGACAGAGCATGAGTTGAGAGGGCAGAGAGAGGGAGGAGTAGGGGAAGAAGGGTCATGTACTCTTTATCTACTCCATCATTCACTCATTCTCTCATTCACCAAATAATTCTTAACTCCTACAGAGTCCAGGCTGGGAGCTGCCAGGTGGAAGACAGTGAACAACTACACACTGTCCCTTGACCTTAAGGAAGTCTTCATCCACCTGAGGAATCAGAAAATTTAACAAATGCAGGACCTCCAGTCTGAGTAGCCCAAAAGAAAGCATGTCACCTTACACAGCTCAGTGAAGTCCGGAGTGGTTCCTTGGAGGAGGGGAGGCTTGTTTGGGGGCTTAACTGATGAGGGGGAGTAAAAAGGAAAGGAGAAACCATACAGGCACTGCCAGCACAGGACCAACATGGGAAAAGGTCAGCTAGATGAACCGCAGAGAAATCTGCAATAACACTGGAGGTAGGTGGCAAGCCTTGAGGCTCTACATCTGCCAGTGGGCATTTTTCTAGAAGGATGTGACCAAGAATTTACTGGGATTGGCTGTAACCAGGTGGGGTTGGGGAAGCACTTGGGCCCACCCCGGCCTCCCTCAGGCACCAGGTAGGACTATCACAGACTGCTTGCTGAGGCCCTCTGTAAGCTGGCCCAACTGAGATGGACACATGCTCAGGAGCCAAATCCTAAGATGACCAGCAGCCAGCCGGATTGCCTGGGACACCAGCTAGGGACACTAGTTGGGGACTGAGACACAGATGCCCCTTCCACTCATCCTCCTCCCCACGGGGACACAGTGCTTTGGAATCACAGCCCAACCCATAGCCCATGGGACTCCCTCAAGCCCCATCTGTTTCAGAGCAGCAGAGAGAGCAGGCAGAGGCTGCTAAGTGGTGTTACAACCCTGCCTGCTCTAGAGATGCTGATGGTGACAACAATACACAGGCTGCGGTCTCGCCGCCTGGGGCTACCCCTCAAACCCAACAGGAAGCTCTTCACCCCTGTTTCTTCCAGGGGAAAGAAGACCATGAATAATCACCCTCAGCTAAATAGTGAACTAGCTCTCTACAGAGTATGTTGCATACAAGCAAACCCCACAGGTCAAAAGAGCTTCAGGACCCAAGAGACATGGCAAACATTTATTCAGTTGACATCTGAAGTCTCCACACTCCATAGCTGGTTTAAGCACAGCATAATTTGTCCCTGGACGTCATTAATGGGGCACTAGGAAGGGGGTGCCAAACTTTGTTGCCCCATGACATCCTGCATGGCAGAGGCTCTCTCTGGTAGGGTGGCCCATACAGGGGTGCCAGGGTACTTCTGTCAGCCCCAGACAATTGAAACAATTGAACCATATATGGAAGTCCTGGGTCTCACACCTCTGTAGTCTTAGCAATGCATCCTTCACTCCATCTGAGCAATAGCCAAGCTGACTGGTTTGATCCAGTCTCAGGTAAGAGTCCTAAAACCAGAGCCAGGTCTAGGGCGTGTTTCAGCTTTGACAATGTCTCTTATTTGGTAGATGTTTGCCAAGATGTTGGTCCAACGATCTTGTTTACTGGTCTTCTACTGGGAATGGCTATTTCCATCCTTCCAGTCAGGTAGAACAATGGAGGCTTAGCTGAAGAAGGTGACCAGAGCATCAGGCTTGGAAACTGCAGGACCCAGTGTCTCTGCCACACTCTGTTATACAGAGGTTCTCAGCGTCAACTGCTCTCAACTTGAATTTGAGGCAAGGATAGTGAAATGTCATGAGAGGCTGGAGAAAAAGCCTAGTGGAAACTCAGGAATAGGAGAGGAGTGGTCTGCAGTGACCATGGAGCCACCAGGATGCCCACAGATAGCACCAGACACAGGCTTAAAATGAGGAAGGCAGTTGAGTCCAGGCAGGAAGCCTGATTCATGTTCTTATAGATCCAGTCCATGTAAACACTAACTTCCGTGTAGACTCCAGGAAGGCCTTGGCGGCCGCAGCCAACACCCCAGCTCACAATCCCCACCTGGATCCACGAGCCATTAAGTTCACAGACCAAGGGTCCTCCAGAGTCTCCCTATAGAAAGAGCAAGAAACCAACTGAAGGCATGGAACAGATCCATATCAGACCAGGCTGACTACACAGCGAGCTACTGAGCAATCAGGTACCTACGGGGCATGCCCAGACTCCTCAACGGACCTGTGGCTCAGAGATTTTTGTGAATATATATTTGAAAACTGACAATTTTCAACAAACCAAAATTATGTACCTACTCAAGACTGTGTTCCCCAAATTGAATACAAACAATGAAAATGCACCCACTAGGACAATAATGAGTAAAGTGCTTGTCCAAGCACATTGCCTATTACACAGAATTAGCTAAAACAGCACTTGCCATTGCTGGTAGCACCAGCCAGATTCACCTGGCCCTGGCCCTGGCCCTGGCCCTGGCCCCTCTTGACAGACTCAGCTGCAGTGTCTGAAGGATCCACTCAGGCTAGCCCAGGAGAGTTGGTGGCTGTGCTCACGTCCCACTAACTTGACGAAGGGTAAGTGGAAGGTTAGGCAATGGCTCAAGCCCTACTGCCAAGGGCTGAGGAAACTCAGTCAAATTTAATGCAGAGCAGTGCAGGGGAAGCAACTGACCTGACAGGCATCCTTTCCTTGGGAATTGTAGCCACAGAGAGATCCTGTCTTGACCAATCTACTAAACTTAATCAACGTTTTCTGGAATATTGCTTTACACTCTTTAAAGCGAATAATGCTTAGCTCAGCTTCCTGAAGAATAATAGGTAATGATGTTGAAACTAGAGAAAGATAATTTAGAAGTTAGTGGATCTGCATGATGGAAACAGGACAGGGTCCCTCAGTACGCACTCTGGGTCCTGGTCAGTGTCACATACAGATGTCCCCTTAGCAGCAAGCAAGCAGTGGATAGGGTCCCCATTTAATACAGGATAAAACTCAGTCCCGGTGTGATATAAGGAGGGGAGGGATCAGAAGCACAATGAACACTGTGTAGGCAAGAACAAATACAGGGAGAGAGGCAAGGGCGTGCCGGCCCGAGAAAGGAAGACCCAGCGTCTGCCTCCGAGCATCAGTGCTGATCTGACAGCCCTGACGTCAGCAGAGCATCTTTCCCTTCTAGAACAGCATCCGACTCTCACACAGGCACTGCCTGAAGAGGACCACACCCAGCCTTTCTCTAAGGAGAGGCGGCCCTGCAGCCCACAGGCAGGGTGGCTCTGCCTTCTACCTCCCACCTGGGGACACACAGCCCACCCCACCAGGGCAGGTACTACTTCCATAGGGCACACAGCCCCTCACCCCCGAGCTGGAATCCCCCCTGGAGAGAACCCACCATACCCGGCGCCCACACCCAAGGTCCTGCACAGCAACAGGAATCTCAACCAGCTGCAGAAGACCCCCTGCAGCATCTGCTCCCCACCCCACCCACCCGCTCACCTATTGCCCCCTTTCCCCTGCCTGGGGCTGGAGGCTGACCCAGGCCACCAGGCTGTCCCACCACAGCCCGCTGCTGGGCAGTCTCACCTCTCTCTGACAGTTGGCCCCATCCCGTGACCCAGCACAGAGTCCCAGTTTTCACTTTCAGAGATTTTTCAGGGAGGCACACAGGCTGGATGTACGAAGAGAAATTCACAGAGAAGGCCAGCACAGCAAGTGCAATGTCATGACTAAACGTTGTTTCATCAAAATCTGAAGGGTAAACAATGTCTGCAACCGGGATTACAACGGCCTGTTCAGAATCACCATGCATCATCCGGCCTCCTAGCCTCACTGTGTATTCTTCAAGGCTGTGGGGGAGAAGACAGGGCCTTCACAGGGATCCCAGAGAGTCTGCCTCTCGCCTTCCCAGCCCCATCTTCCTAGGACAGTCATCAGTCACCTACCCTCCAAACCACATCCCCTCCCAGGACCCCTGACCACTGTGGCCCGTGGGGACCCACGTGTGGGCCATAAACAGCAGCATCACATGGGATCGCCCGACTGGGCAACCACGGGAGCATTGCCCTCTGTCAGATAAAGAGGAAGCTCAATCAGGAGAACACAGTTGGCTCCAGGACAACAGACAGGTTGGGGCACCGTGTTAAGAGCCACACTCACTCAAATATGCAGTGGGCCGCAGTCAGCACCCATCTGCTGGCGATGAGGGAGCCGCCACATTGGTGTTCATCATGGATCTGCAGGCTCACCTGCCAGGGCCACTTCTCCTTCGTAGCCGGCGCTCCACCCACTACCCTCATGGTTCTCTTGCCGCACGCTGATTGGCTCGGTAGAGAGGGCACCGGAAGTGAAGCCGCCGCCCCCACCCCATCTCCACCCGGGCCGCCCAGGGCGCAGCAGGTTACCCTCAGGGAGCTCCCATCTCTCCAACCCCGCACCACAGACCTGGCCCCACGCAGTACCTCGAGGAAACAGCTCCACAGCTGGAGACGTCCCAGCCTGCTCCAAGTCCTGTCGTCCTGTGGGTGCTGACCTGACCCGGGGTCCCGCAGGCCCTGCCGGCGCTGAAGACCCCGGAGCTGCAGTGCCTTCCAAGATCCTGAGGGATTTTGGGTGCCCAGGGGGTGCCAGGGGCTCTGGACTCGGCAGGGTCACCTCGGAATCCTCACTGGCTCGGTAACCCCCACCTGCAGAAGAACAGCCCAGCGAGGAAGACAGGAGAGCCCGGCGCCCCTCGGCCGCCTCCTCTTCCTCCTCCTCTTCTTCCTGGCTGTGGTGCCCGCCACACCCCCACCGCCATCCCCACCACCTTCCCAGTCCCCGGCCCTCTGCGCCGCCCGGCCCAGCCACGTCCTCTCCCCGCCCACCCAGAGCCTCACTGAGCACGGGCTGAGCCAGCTGGAGCCACAGCAGGAGGCCCAGGAAGAAGCCCCCGCGGGGAACCTCTAGGGACGCCATGGACACTGCCACAGGCACTGCCACAGCCTCCCTTGCGCCCCCTGGCGGCGGCGCGCGCTCCTGCGCTCGTGCTGAGAAGGTGTTTTGAGGGCACCCTGGAAAACCCCCAAGATTCCCAACCTCCGGTTATCCCTCCAAAAACATTTTCTGTAGTGCTTCCAAGGCAGGGATTGTGAGTATGTACTGAGTCCAATACAGTTTAAGACAGAATCTTCCTGGATTATCCAAATCGTCAAAATCTGCACTGGAGCTCTTAATGGGCCGGCGCGTAACCAGGTAAGAGGCTGGTTAAGGAGCCAGTGCTGTGGCCCAGAGGGTTAAGCTGCCACCTATATGGGCCCTGTTCGAGTCCTGGCTGCTCCACTTCCCATCCAGCTCCCTGCTACTGTGCTTGGGAAAGCGGTGGAAAATGTTCCCAGTGCTTGGAGGCCCACCACCCACCATTGGAGATGAGGACGGAGTTTCAGGCTCCCGCCCTGGGCCCTGTAGGTTGGGGCCATTTGGGATGACACTTTGCAGAGGATGGAAGGCATCTCTCTGCCTTGCTCTCTCTCGCTCTGTAACTCTGCCTTTCAAATAAATAAATCTTTTTTTAAAATCAATGTTTTAAGTATTTTATAAAAACCCCATGTTTGTAGGACAAAACCAAAACCCTTCTAAATAGCTCTTCTGTTAAAAAGGAAAGCATAAAGAAAATAATAAACACTAGAGATGATTGCCAATAAAAGCACTACAACATGTGGTATACATACAACAGCACCTCAAAGGGGTGGTGAAAAATGTATCTTCTGAAAAAACTATGCATGGGGCCAGCGCCGCGGCTCACTAGGCTAATCCTCCGCCTAGCGGCGCCGGCACACCAGGTTCTAGTCCCGGTCGGCGCGCCAGATTCTGTCCGGTTGCCCCTCTTCCAGGACAGCTCTCTGCTGTGGCCCGGGAGTGCAGTGGAGGATGGCCCAAGTGCTTGGGCCCTGCACCCCATGGGGGACCAGGAGAAGCACCTGGCTCCTGCCATCAGATCAGCGCGGTGCACCAGCCGCAGCGCACCAGCCACAGCAGCCATTGGAGGGTGAACCAATGGCAAAGGAAGACCTTTCTCTCTGTCTCTCTCTCTCTCACTGTCCACTCTGCCTGTAAAAAAAAAAAAAAAAAAAAAAAAAAAAAAAAACTATGCATGGATTTCAAAATTTTTGCATTAAAATAAACTTATCTTTCATTCATTTTTAAACCCTCATATAGCAGTCCTAGAAAGGGATTTATAGCTTTGACCATCAGAAACTTATTTAGCTTATTTGATAACAAATAATATTCAACTCAAAAAGTGGAAAGGATTAACAGAATAAACTCAGAGAAAGCATTTGAGAAAAGGGGACAAAATAATGGGTAAAACAGAAATCCATCAAAAAAATTATGGACAGGATTAACATACTTTGAATTGTGTTTTTTATTTTTAACATTTATTTATTTATTTGAAAGGCAGAGTAAGAAAGAGAGAATCTGCTGGTTTACTCCCCCAAAAGACCACAATGGCCATGGCTGGACCAAGTCAAATCCAGGAGCCTGAAACTCCATCCAAGTATCTCAGGTGCATGAGCAGGAAGCTGGATCAAAAGTGGAGCAGTTGGACTCAAACTGATACTGTGATACGGGATGCTGGCATCCCAAGCAGTAGCTTAACTTGCTGCACCACAATGCCATCCTTGAGAGTTTTTTTTTTTATAAAAAAATACTACTACTGGGGCAGGTGTTGTAGTGCAGTAGGTTAAGTCACTGCTTGAAATGCTTGCTTCCTGGGCCAGCGCTGTGGCACAGCAGGCTAACACCCTGGCCTGAAGCACCAGCATCCCATATGGGCACCAGTTCCAGACCTGGCTGCTCCACTTCCAATCCAGCTCTCTGCTGTGGCCTGGGAAAGTAGTGGAGGATGGCCCAAGTCCTTGGGCCCCTGCACCTGCATGGGAGACCTGGAAGAAGCTCCTGGCTCCTGGCTTCGGTGCTGCTTTGGCCATTGCAGCCAACTGGAGAGTGAACCAGCAGGTGGAAGACTCTCTCTCTCTCTCTCTCTGTAACTCTGACTTTCAAATAAATAAATAAATCTTAAGGAAAGAAGGAAGGAAGGAAGGAAGGAAGGAAGGAAGGAAGGAAGGAAGGAAGGAAGGAAGGAAGGAAGACTTGCTTCCTGTGTCAGGAAAAACATATGGTATTTGTCTTTTGGGGACTGGCTTATTTCACTAAGTATAATAGATTCAAGTTGCAACCATTTTGTTACAAAAGACAGGATTTCATTCTTTTTACAGTTGTTGTGGCCATTTGGGGAGTGAACCAGCAGATGGAAGACACTCTCTCTCTTTCTGTCTCGCTCTTTCTGTAACTCTGTCCTCCAAATAAATAAAATAAATCTTTTTAAAAATGTAGCCAACTGATCTTTGAAAAAGGAATAAGGGCAATTAAAATGGAAATAGAGTTTTTTCCATAACTGTTGATGGACAACTGAGTATTCACATGCCGGAAGGAGGTGGGGGAGGAGGAGAATCTTCAGGCACAGACCTTGCACCTTCCACAAAAACTCACTCAAAATAGCGCATAGACCTAAAAAGAAATGCAAAATTACAAAAGCCCTAGAAAATAACTAAGGAAAATATCTAAGCGATCTTGGTTTGGCAATGGCTTTTTAAATACACCAAAAGCCCAATCCATGAAAAAATGAAAGTGACAAGTTGGACTTTGTTAAAATGAAAAATTGCAAAAGACACTGTTGAGAGAATGAAGAGACAAGAAGCCACAGACTTAGGGAAAATACTTGCAAAACACATATATGATTAAAGGATAGCATCCAAAATATGCAAAGAATTCTTAAAACTCAACAATAAGAAAACAAACAACTCAGTTTAAAAATGAGCAAAGTATCTGAACAGACACCTCACCAAAAACATACAAATGGCAAATAAATATATGAAAAGATGTTCTACATCATGTATCATCAAGGAAATGCAAAATAAGACAACAATGCGGTAGCACTACTATTGAAATGGCTGAAACCCCAAAATACTGACAGCACCAAATGCTGACAAAGCTGCAAAACAACAGGAAGTCTCATTTATTGATGGTGGGCATGGAAAATGGTACTACCAGCTTAGAAGACAGTATGGTAGTTCCTTACAGAGTGAAACTTTCTCTACCACGTGATCTAAGAATCTCACTCCTTCTTATTTACACAGCTAAATTGAACTTTTATGTCCATATGTAAGCCTGTACCTGCTGCTTGATAGCACATGTATTAGTCAGTTCTGTGTTAGTTCAATGGAAGGCCTAAGACAGGCTACTAATGGAGGAAGGAAGCGTGTTTTCACGTAAGCTTTTGGAGTTTCAGAGTCCTAGGTGGGTGAGCCCACTGGTCCAGCTGCTGATGGGGGTAGCAATGGTGGAGCATGGAACATAAGTAGAGGAGAGATCCCATGTTTGAGTCGGGGCACAGAAAATGGCTGGACTTGCTCAGACTTTGATAAGCAACCCTTTTGTGAGCACTACCTTCCCCAGGACACAGCAGTGACCTGAGGCTCTCCCACTAGGCCCACCTCCTGAACTCCGTAAGTGGATTAAGTTTCCACGCTCTCAGAACCATTAACTATGGCATAGGGGGTTAAATGTCTGCCAGAGTTCCAGAGCCAAATCTCTATTTATAACTGACAAAAGTTGCAAGTGACCAGGATGCTCTTCAGCAGGTAAATGGATAAAATGTGGTATGTGATAGGGATATTACTCAGTGATAACAAAAAAAATGAGTTATTGAGTCATGAAAATACATGGAGAAATTCTAAACGCATATTGGTTAAGTAAAAGACACCAATCTGAAAATGCCACATATTGTAAGATTCCAACTATATGATATGATAGAAAAGGCAAAACTGTGAAGCCAGTAAAACATTAGTGATTTCCAGGATTTGGGGTGGGGAGCAGAGAAGTGGGGGTGAATAGAATAAGCATAGGAAATCTTTTAAGGCACTGAAACTATACCATATAATAATGTAATGGTGGCTACATGTTACCATATAACTGTCTACTCTTAAAATATATGACACAAAGAGTAAATCCTAATACAATCTATGAACCTTAGCTAAATAACCTATGAACATTAGCTAAATAATGTACCAATATGAACTCATTAATCATAAAAAATATACCACACTAGTGCAAGATGTAATAATATGGGAAACCGGGGTGGGGGGTGGATTTTAAAAGCGTATTTGTGAATTTAGTACCTTCTGCTCAACTTTTATGAAAACTTAAAACTGCTCAAAAAATGTAAAGTCCATTAATTTGTCTTTAAAAATAGGAATTGGGTGGACATTGTGGTAGGACAGTTGCATTCAGTAGCGCAGAGTGCCTGTGTTGGCGTCCGGCCTCCTACCAGTAGGCATTCTGGGAGGCAGCAGATGATAGCTCAAGTACTGAGTCCCCACCACCCACCCTCCCTCTCCCCTCCCCCTCTCCGTCTCTTCATCAAGAAGGCAGGGGATCCAGGTATGGACCACAGACTGTGACAAAAATATCTAACCACACTACCAATGTTGTCATAACCTCACTGAAGGGATGCAGAAGAAAGTAGCTGACTTAAGGAACTGAAAAATGGTGTTTCCACTGGGATCTCTGAGGCAATACCACGACGAGTTAGTAAAGCTTCTCTCACAGGAGCTCAGTTTCACAACTCTGAAACCGATTTAAAGGTATA